AATTTTAAGTTTAATCAAGATGATTTTTTTCTAACACGGTTCTCTTCTACTTTAACATACGTACATTGTTTCATAAAGATTGGTTAAAAAAAACCAAATATGAAAATGTTATTGTAAATAATACAAAAGGCGGATATCTGGTTAACGAAGTGGTTTTGGACAAAATATTATACTTGATTTTTTCTTTATTTTGACCCACTACGTAAATTATGTCTACCTTTTTTAACTCCCTGTATACAACCACATCATCTACCAATAATAAGGATCTAAAAAGATACTTATAAGATTGTATCCACTTTTTCATTGGTACAGGGAGCCTGTACCATTTTTATATATAGTACACATATAGACTAAACTCTATTTATTACCTGGACTATCACGATAGAATTCCGCTATATTCACCACACTGAACTTTAACTGTTCAAACCATTACGAAATGTTAGTTGTAAAATAACTTTAAATAGGCTAGGTACCCTCGAATCAAAGTATAATGGTAACTTTAATAACCATGGTTCACTCTATATAGAATTAAAATTATAGAATTTGTCATGGATTTGTATATCTAAAAAGTTTTCCCTTACAAAATGTAATCTATTTCGAACAGCGATAGTCAGGAAGATTTACGGACACGAATATTTCTTATAGGGTTGCCTGAGTGTTACTGATTTGAACCCAATAAACTTTAATTTAAGACTTGAACAAAAAGGCTTGTATCAAACGATACAAGATTGATTTGACAAAATTAAACGTTTCGCAGAGTAACTATTGTGTAGCCAAAGCTACATTTGTTACAACAGAACCTATGTTTTATAACCAATTAGATTTGTACTATATTTTAAATAATTTGAAAACACCACTTTGCAGCAACATTTTTAGGCCACACATAAGTGATAACTAGTTATATTTATGAAGTTAAATAAGTAAAGTTTGTTTGTTCAGAGGATCGCGTTGTTGCCACTAAGTTTCTACCCAGGAGACTGTCTTATTCGACTTTAATATTCTGCTCTTCCGTTAATTTTAACATAGTTAGTAACTAAAACATTTATTAAGTGAATTTCTAGCATAGCTTTAAGTAGCAACTTCATTTTTTTAAGCTTAATATATTAATATTATAATAATATATTAATAACTTAAGTGTTTTTTTAAATTTATTTTCTCCTGTGACACAATGATCTTTTTTTAAGAAATGGAGTTCTCTTTTTCCTCAAGTTTGCCTGTCTACATGCTTTAGCAGCGGATTTAAAGTTATTTGGTTTGATTTTAATTAGTATACGGACAATTGAGTTGTCAGCAGACATTTTTGACCGGTATAATATACACGAATTATAAGTCAGGAAACCAAAATCAAGTGCCCAAGTTTTGAACTCTGCCATTTACCTGTAGTTTATGAATTATACTTCAATAATTCAAGTGTTATGACATCCAAACACTATCAACTGGATTGTAAAAAATAGATTGATAGGTTAAGAATAAGAATATCTTCAATTTAGTTACATACAAGTAATGGACAACGTCCCAACAAATACTAGTATTTTTCTATGGATTAGGTCTAGTGTATTTTTAGAACCTAAATTGTAACAGGAAGGAAACTACTATATTAGATATTCTAAAAACTCTTCTACCAAATAAAAACTTCTGTCAAGAAGCCAATCAGCCAATTTATTTTTTTAATTTAACCAAGTTAAGCTCTTGAAACAGTACAGGTAGCCTATTAAAGAGCTGTACTTGGAGGGATTTGTGGCTATTAGTATATTTTGATAATCTTACTATCGGAATATCAAGCTGGTTACATTTTCTTGTATTATAAATTGTGAAGTTCGTTACGTTTTGGGAACAAAGATAGATTTTCTTTGACAGATAGTAAGTGATGAAAAATGAATATACATGGTAGAATCAAATTCTATGTTTGATAAAGAGGGGTATCAAACATTATTCGTATTGCTTTTTTCTGCCAAGGTTTTAAGGTTGTTATGAAGGAGTCCTAAACAATCAAAATCAATATCGTTGTGAATAATAACAATTATAGCATAAAACCGAGTTTTAATAGTAGTATTGATATATTACATTTTTCATTAAATTTTAATTACAGTATTTCTTTGTATATTGTTAGCCTAATGAAACAACTTTGTTGCAATATTATTCTTCAACAGAACAATATAAGCTCATCTTCTTTATTTAACTGAATTTTTTGCCTTAATGAACTTATGCACAGCATAAAATTTAGCTACAGCAATCTATTTTCTTTATTTTTAAGGTAGAATCACACATTTTAATACATATTACAACAAAACATCTTGTTAGAGGATAATTTTGGCAGAATTATGAACTCACACGAAAATAAAGGCATCAAAGAAATAAATTATATGCATTATTGATTTTCGTTTTTGCAATCCTTAACCATCGGTGGTCTCAAAATAAATGAATTGTCGCCGACCGATAAAAAGCATAAGGAATCAATACATCAAAAGCGAATTTATCTCAGAGTTCTTATAAAATGTGGAAAAAGAATTCGAACGAAGTAGTTTTCTTGTATAAAAACGTGTCATAAAAAAAGTCTATTGTACTTTTAATATATCAGTAATTAGATAAGTCATAACTTCAAAGTGTATGTATACGTTATTTCATTTTAAGTAGTGTTATCATTATAATGAATAAATAAACTCTTTTAACTGTGTCCAATGTATTCAAACTTAAGTAAACGCACAAGGAGTGCAACAGAAATATACGATATTTAAATATGATGACCAATTTCTAGGTAATCATTAAATCGGATTGGAAAAACCGATAAGTGCAAGTGTAGGTATACTGGAATAAGTTAGAATACGTATTATGGACCTTCACAACCTATACCCAATCAATACTCTTCAAAACCTTAGCTAGTATGACATTTGGCAATGATATATTTTTAAACATCAATTTTATATTTTAAGCACCGTGTCATAAATACAATTTCATTAGTTTGTTTTACAATACAAACTTGACAATGTTGTGACACTATTAAAGTTCTAAGATAAAAATATTGTTTACATTAGTTAAAAAAAGAAAGATTTGTGCATACTGTGAGAGATATTCCTACTTATGAAACACACTTGAGACCGTCTAAAGAAGATTTTCCGATAAAGATAGAAATATATCTCCGAGCCTCTGTGACCTTTCCTTTATTGTCTCACATCCTTGTGACAGGATTGAATTGAAGGCGTTTTAGGTAGATTTTCCTTCTTGTCACCCTTCTATTGTCACAATAAAAATCGGTGTTATTTTTGGTTAAGTTAAAAGTTTTTTTTAATGACAAACATGTCTTCTTATATACAGGATGTTCAAAAAGGTTGGGGCATAATTTACGTAGTGATTCCTCAAAATAGCTTCCTTGGGGCAAACCTGACTAGCCTTATTCTAATGTATTTTATCGATATTTCTTATTCTAACTTTTAAAACTTGGTATCGTTTGATATGGTTATCAAACATTCTAAATAAAAGTGTTCTTGAAATTTTTTCATAAGATCGGCAATTTATGGTCGTTTACGTTATTAATTGTAAATTTGGCACCATTTTGAAATTTTAAGTTTAATCAAGATGATTTTTTTCTAACACGGTTCTCTTCTACTTTAACATACGTACATTGTTTCATAAAGATTGGTTAAAAAAAACCAAATATGAAAATGTTATTGTAAATAATACAAAAGGCGGATATCTGGTTAACGAAGTGGTTTTGGACAAAATATTATACTTGATTTTTTCTTTATTTTGACCCACTACGTAAATTATGTCTACCTTTTTTAACTCCCTGTATACAACCACATCATCTACAGCTATCAATTAAATGTGGTATTTGTTTTTAATTTTTTAAGCACTGTATTTAGAAACATTTTGATGTTCATAGAGTTGTACAAAAAGTATAGTATTTCAAGTTAACTGTAGCTCTATTTTTAGTAAATCAGGGTTTACAGTTTTTAATGTCCAGTTTAAAGTATTTAAAATTATTATTTTCATGGTAAAAACCTACACAGTTGATATTTTAACTGCTAAACAGACAACACCATTTGACACTATGAAGCTTTGTGACTTAATTAAATTTAACTTCAAATATGATCTCGATACAACCGTTGGGTTTATACAGATAACAGTGTATATTCGGTTTAATATGTTACCATTGGTTACACATTCTTAAAAGCACCAAGTTGTTAAGTCCAGTAGCATATCAGAAGCAATTAGTGATAGGGTTTACCCAGCTTTCAAATGGTAACGACCTTAAAATTGGACCTTTGTGAAAATTATGTCTTGTAATTTTCTATTGTAACGAATTAAATATAGTTCATACAAAAACAAGTTACCTACAAAATTAAATCACTCAAGTGTTACTGACCATGAGCCACATACCTGAAAACAGGAAATACGTCAAATAACACTTATAATTGTTACAAGTATTATTTGACGTATTTTTGTGCTCTCAGGTAATTTAACATTTGCGATGCTGATTAAGAAGTTATTTAAGAAGCACATATCAAAACGATCCTTAATTCTTACAGAATAATGAGTCAAATGGCGATATCCAAAGAACTCTTTTGACGTAACCTGTCCATCAACGCCCATCATAGAGTTAGAGATTTGATATCCAGACATTATATTCCCATGTTAAATTTGTATCAAATTTAAGAATCCAAATAAACTTTGATAAATTAAGACTCCGACAAATTGGACCGGTAGAAATTACCAGTTAAGATCAGAAACGTAAATCTTTAACCAAGCCAAACTTGAAACACAACCTATTGTAAGCTATAGCAAGTTTAATGACTCATCTGCCACAGTATGTAACTGATGAGCCTGGTATCGTTCAGCACTCCGTGATTGTTTCATTTAAAGATTTTAATTTCCAATGAATATTGTTCTACAGCTGTTTACAGCTGTTCTGCAGCCGTTTTGTATTAGGATAAAATTTTTACCAAGGAATACACAAATAACCGGTTTAAACTTACGTAATAAAATGTTTGTATTATGTCCAGGCAAGGTCAAAGCTGCCTAAGAGGAGGCGGAGGGTGTTGCCGGTCGAGCAGCCGAGGCCCAAGAGGGGCGAGTGCCCAGCGGCGACCACAGCGGGGGTGATCAACCGTCGAATGAACGCCATCAAGCATCCCAACCAACCTGCTAGCATCTTCAAGGACGCCTTCACAACGCTGGCCCAGCCCAGCAAACTAGGTATGGTGTTTGTTGTGCACTGTACCATAAACAACTGGAGTTAAATATAAACTGGCGGCAGTGTTGTGGTTAGCATAAGTTCTGGCGTCCACCGCTGGGGGTGCCATGTAGTTACGTATCTCGTTCGCCGCAACTACATATCGCTCCCAGCGGTGGCCGCCAGAATTTATGCTAACCCCAGCACTGTTGTTGGTCTATATTTAATTCTATTTGTCTATAATTGTACTGATGTCAAGTATGTTAGTTTTAAACACGCTCGATGAACTTAGTTTTTGTACTAATTTTTAATATCATTACGTAAGATAGCCACTCAAGTATGTGTACTGTAGGCTAAATATGAACGCAAGGTAAGTATAGAACGAGGTGAGAATATTTGTGTAGTCTTTCTACTGACATGGGCCAGCTTTTTCTTTTGACATGACCATTCAAGCCCAATACTGACGGTCTAGGCCCACTTTTGACCTATCAAAAGATAGTGGATTTTGTCAACATCGTCAAATAAAAAAGTCCATATTTATTCCAAAGCAAAAACATTTAAATTGGAAATGTTATAAAATGACTACCATCCTGAGTAATTGGAAACGTAAAGTAAAAAATGTATAAAAAAACTAATCCTACAAATCACTGCCAATAAAACTGCACTTGATCAATAACGAACGTAAACAGGCGATCTCAATCAGTGAGTGATTGGCAACAGTGATTCACCTAAGTGGCGGTGTGGTCGGTGGTGGGGGAAGGTAGTAGTGGTGGGGGAAGTCACGTGGCCAATCATCGATTCGTGACGTCGCACCTGTTGCCTCCGCAACTTGACTGTTGTAATCAACTTACAAGAGCAGCTGTTACTTCTTCCAACGTGGCACGTCTTGGGTTCCGTCAGTTTGTCTAGTCTACGTCGCTTATATTAACAATTTATTATGTTTCTTTTTTTGAAAACATTTTTAAGTTTCATTAAGAGTGTGTGTGTATGTTTTTAATCAATCATATAAGAAACTGTATTTTTTCCTGTCGTTAACACATAGTCTTTCTTCAGTAATAGTTATTATGGTACATCGTTTAGTTTTTCAGATTTTTTAAAATACAAATATAATGATGACGAACTTATTTATTGGTACGGTATGGTTTTTTTTTTTTTTTTTAATTAACAAACATTTGCCATTAGTTATAAAAATAAATTCCTATTTATTATAGCTTTAAACAACACAAGTGGGGAGGAAAGCATAAATAATTACTTAATACAAATATGTAAATTTCAATAATTAATTATCACAGCATCCTCCATCGCAAGCACCATAACATTATGTCAGCGATAAGTTTATCAACCAGGACTTAAATAGGATTTCGTAAATCCCTTTTAAGAATAAAAAACGTGCATTAAAAATTTGCTTGTCAAAAATAAATATATTTTTTTATGGTTTCTACTCTAAATAATCTGTAGCCGTACTTAGTAACTCCATAATATGCACATTTTTTACCAAAAATAAAACAAAGAAGAGAAATTTTTTTATAATTTCATAAAAAAAGCATTTTATAGATGAGTGGATAATATAAAACCTTTCCTAGTTTGTTAACAAGCCATCTTTACGGATTAGAGTTAATGGCAGTCAATTAACCATAAACCGCTAATAGATGTTTATATAAACAGTTGATATTGAACACATGTTTATACTGCGAAAACTCGAGTCAATTTAGTTTCTGTTTTCCACTTTACACGTGGGTTTTCAATCAACCTCCTATTACAACATAGATAACGACTGGAGGCTACAACCATTAACAACGATGCAACAACTGATTGGAAAGCAGATCGATGGAGCCAATACTCACTCATTCAATGAGGAATTGAATTTTCTGCGGGAACGAGTAGAGAAATAATTAAAGTTGAAAAATATACTTGTATATAGTTTTGTTTGTCCATCATTGTTCAAAGTCCCCTACTGATCAGATAGTTTACGTTTTAATTCAGAGAGATGTCAGTGGGTTTTTAACGAAAATGGGCCCAACTGTCCTTGACGATTAAGAATTCAGGGTCTTCGCTAAAGTATTACAGTAGGTAGTCTTAGCTTATAAAGAATAAAACTTGTTTACTCTAAAAGTTTTCTTTGGTTATAGATGGTCTTTACCGGTTACTAAATTTGTTTGATGTACCTAAAAGTCACAAGTGTTATTTAAATCTATGTTTATTAGTTAAATTTCTTGGTTTTATCTTTTAAGTTAAAAGGTTATAAGAGAATTTGTGTGAAAATTTTGAAATTGCAAAGCTGCAGAAATCAGCGCTTTTACTTTTTACTACTAATATTATTATTTTTTATGTTATGTTGTGTTATATCTGTTATATATATATATGTATTGCAACACGATATGCCCATTTGAAAACGAAATAAAAGCAACAAAGTATATCTCCCTCCTCTATACTAATGTAAAAAGTAGCAAAACAGGTGTTATGTGCAATCCCCATTAACCTCAATAATGCCGTCAACTTCCACCCAAGCCGGTCTCTCATTTTTATAAGGTCCATAGAGGTTTAATAGTTTCAAACAGTTAACTTAATTTCTTCCCCTGAGATTTTAATCATACTCTTAAGATCGACATTAGTTTTATAGATGCTGTAATGTTCAAAGCAGAAAACCATTAATAAAAATGCTACTTTTTAATTTACTAAGTGATCTGCTCATGGTTTCTGAAATACAATTATATTTCCTTATTATAAGTAATAAAATACGCCTATTACAAATGATTATGTACTGCAAAGAATCAATAAAAAGTCTAAAGATTTATTCAAGGGAACTGCAAGACACCCTAATAGTTTTAACAAGTTTAGGGGTTCCTTCCACACACAGCATTGTTATAAATGTGATATAATTTTACTAAATTTTCGTCTATCTCGTATCTTTATAAAATACACCGTATTTTATCTATGATAGAATAACGATTTACAAATTTGTTTCATCTATAGATATTTCTTGCTCAGCTTTGGCCATAAAATATTTTGTAACGATAAAGAATTCAATTAAAAATAAAGGATTTATATCCACATAGTGCTCTTATCCAGCGCAACACAAAGTTCTCAACAAAAGCCTTTTGTATTGTCAAGAACACTTGGAGAAGTTAGTAAAAGAAGTTTGATAAGTTTTAGTGAACCATTGAGAGGAAAAACGCTCAGAAACATTCACTTTTAGTGCTTTTCTTGCTTAAGATGTTTTAGATAGAGCTGTTTTATACTGTCATTGAATCCCAGAGTCCTTTTATACATATACGTTGGTTTTATGTTATTACTTTAACTAAGGGTAACATCTTTAAAGTATAGTTATGATGTCTGATTATCCATATTCTGCACTTGCAGTTATCATAACATCATTATTCGTTTATTGTATATTTCAATATTTAGTTTCTCCACCGTTATAGTTGTAATATGCCGTATATATATGTATTAACATTTTTTTTAATTATCTGACAAAACATTTATGTTTCTAGTTTTAATTGTTTGTCCCACTTAATGAGCTAGTTGAAAACGTGGTTTAACGTTTGTTTAACGGATGTCTAAAAGGAAAACCTTAGCCAAACACAAATTATTGATTTTGTTTTACATAGGTTTTATGAAGATTACGGCGAGTAAGGTAAACATCTGATGAAAAATATTTTCTTCACAGGAAAGATTCTACAGAAAAAAATATAATTTACTTTCTCTCCAGTATAAAGTAACTGTCAATTCATGACCCATACTTTAGCTCTTGGTTATATTACATTATGATTGTTTGTAGGTAATATTGCAATATTTTTTGTAAGGATGATTATTTTAAGATATTATTTGTTCTGCTAACAACTGATATCATTGTTTTTAGATAAACCATATTTTTAATAACCATACTATCTTACGTCTTACTCAAAAGAAAATTAAATCCTTACAAAAGTACGTGCGTTAAAACAAATTATTCTGAAAGTTATTAGAATTTGTTCGATGAATTTAAGCCAAAGCATAGTTTTAAGTGTACCAACTAAACAGTCATTTTTCAATTATTTTATCTAGATCCTTTTTTAAAGAATAACGACATCGCTGTGTGGAAATCACGATAACATCAATAACAGTTTGAGTGCAGTCTAAAAAATCCAAACAATTTATAACTAACTTTAAATTTTTGGCCTACTAACGATGAGCAATTATGTATCAAAAAGTAAAAGATTGGTCAAAGGGTTAGGTGAAAAGTAAGATTTATAGTTTGGATGAATTTATAATTTTAAACATCCTATACCGTTTTTATTTAAAAACAACTTACGTTCAATCAACAAATCAATTGGTCATAATCATAAACATATAGTTCTCAATCGGTAATAGCTAAAATTATTAAAACTAGAATTTCTATAAAGTAAATTATGAGCATTTATATTTATTTTTTTTTATCATAATAGCATATTTAATAACGTTTTTTAATTAACGTATTTAATAGCGTATTGGTTGGATATATTAACATATTGAATGAGGCAATAGAGTACCTATACAAAGGTAAACAGAGAAAATTAAAAACTAAAGGCATAAAAGTAGGCTTACTAAGATACATTGATTTAAAAAATATAAAGCCAATCGAGTGACTTAAGACAATAGAGTAAATATTTATTCGATGTTATTTGATTGAACTTATTAGGTTAAGAACGATTAATAGTACAGTATTTACATTTTTTTTTATTCGTTCTAGCTTTTAATACTTGTCTATTATTTCAGTCCTAAATTACTTTCTTTTAACATAAACCCAATTTTTAGTTGGCTCTCTAAATCAATCTGCATCGTAAAATTTCCAAAACTATTTTTAAGCACCTGCATCTATAAACGAAAGCAAAATTCTCAAAATGGACAAATCCATACAGATAATACCATGGGCGATATCTCTCGGAAAAATTGAGGAACCGGCCTTGTATTGATTAGTGGCGCTGCAGAACGGCAAAGTGTAGAACTAGGTCCTTTAGACCATATAACAGGATATTGAGTGGCGAAAATATACATAAATGAACAATGTCAGCAATCTGACACATAGATTCACCCATAAAATTGTCAACAACCTTTATCATGGGCAAAGTAGGAGTAACTATGATAATTTTGTAGGAAAAAGTCACAAAAGGTGCAATAACTTTTGAACCACAATTTTACGGAAATGGAGTTGTGTACCATTTTGTTCACAATCAAAAGTACTATGACATACTTCATTTTTATCAAAATCGTTAGAACTATTTTTGAGAAAATTTGATTTTCCCGTTATTTTATGGGTTTTAAGAGAAAACCCCCATTAAAATCAAAATAAAAAATGGAAAAAACCCTTAGAAATGCCATGGATTGGTACCTACATACCAAATTTAATCAAAATCGGACTACAGGAGTGGTCTGTAGCTCTGTACACATCCACACACGCACAAAGACATCCACTTCGAAAACAACTTTTAAAATTCATTGGGACCCAAAATGGATATATCCACTCAAAACTCAAACTCAATAATTTTTACTAAAGTAATTCTTTCTCCATATACATATATATATGTGTGGTATAGGGAGCGAAAAAAAATTAATTTATTTGGTATTCAACACAAATGGAATGTCTTAGTGTCATTATTATTTAAACGTAATCTTAAACAGCTTCAGCCTACCAATTACTTCAAGCTTAATAATCTTAGACCCTTAAAAACTAAAATCTTTTGTTTCAATAGTTAGAAAGTAGACCATTATGTACCTAATCGTTGAGATTATAAACAATAGCCCTTGCAAACAGCTGATTTATGTCTGTAGCAAAACTGCACGGGTAACCCACTAAATTGACCATTCACCCTGAATTGTTGTATATTTTGTTAGTCATATTGATCTGAGTTTACTCTGTAAAACAGTTCTTGTGCTTAGAGACTTTTGAAATCAAAGACATTTTGATTTATTTATATATCACAATCAACTTACAATATTCACATATGTGTGCTTAGATGTCTTGATGTGACGTAATTCGTCGTTTTTGCATTTGGAAAAAAGGAAAATGGCAATATTCATCATGCTTTAATAAGTAGAACATGTATCGAGTAAACGTCAATATGTCCATCAGAATGGTTCAACATCCATATTGATTGAGTCATTAATGGTGTGATGAACTATGACTCAATGTTTCAATCATCGTTCCATAGCATTAGGCGATTCATCATGTAACAGATTATAGGCGGTTGGATGAAAAAATCATAGTGAGTTTAAATTTAATTTTAAACAATTCCAAAATATCTACTTAAAATACAAATGGTGAATGATCTTATATTTATTTATCGAGGTGCCATAGTAAATTAATTTAAATATAGTTTTTCTATACTCAGGTCATGTCAATAAATTAATATGTGTTACGGTCAAGCTTCTTTAACCGCGACAGAGACAAATTCAAGGTTGGGAACGTTGAAGAACATATTCTGAATATTTAACTGTCACATTTTTGCTTCTTGGATAGCTGTAGAAAAATTGCAATTAAAAATCACATTCATTTTGAACATTTAAACACATTACTGGCGACCCCATCTTAAATAATTGATTGATTAATTGATCAATTGACATTGAAGGTCGTTGAAAAATAGTACCATTGTTTTTTGTTATGTTTAAGTCGTCATTTGCCTATTGGGTCTGATGATAATTGGAGTGTCCAATCGAAATCGATCACCACTTACCATCTTTTGTATATTTACCGTCTTGTGAGTAACCGTATAAGCGTAAATATATGTTTTAAGTGTTATAAGACGTATATTTATTAACTTTCCGTTATGTTTAAGTATTAACTTTTGTTTTTCAAACTCTATCTGTCAGCAACTAGTTGAATTTGTGAAAATTGGTTTGTACCGTAGGAATAATAAATAAATACTCGTAGTGACAACACAAAATACATGCAATTACTTAGATATGTGATGTATTTAATGCCTACCAAATTCAAGCATTTTTCCACAACAAAACTGTCTGCTCAATAAATTTTCAAACATATAATGGTTTACGTTCTTAGCAATAAGCTAAACCAATGCGAGACCAGAAGGGTTATAGTTTAATTATTTAGTTTTTCCTTTGACCTAAGTTTCTTAACATACAACTTGAAGGAGTCACGGCCTTGCCTAAGGACTGTCTCCGTCAAGACTTCAATTTCCGTTTCCAATTTATCACCCGAAATTTCTGACCAATGTGCCTTGAAATGTGCAATATTACTGTAACATTAAAAATATCTTTATTGAAATATTGTTGTTAGTATTCAGCTTTTGTTTTTATGCAAATCATTAAGGAAGGTCATTGTAAAATTAGGAGGGCCATTGACATAGGAAATAGACAAACAAACTAAACAATAAGACGAAAACACATGTTTAGTTGTAGCAACATGATTAGTTAAATAAAAATGGTTTTACATTTATGAAACCGACATTAATTTAGCCACTTCTTGAACATTTGTTGTTATATAATTTCCTTAGTTTTATACATAAAATGAACAGTATATGATTTAATAACTGGGATTACTCAACTATGGATAAATATTCTTAAAATAAAGTTTGTTTTATCCACTAACTTTCAGTTTTTCCAACCATTTCTTCTAGCCAGTAAAACTAGAGCTAGATATTATTTCAAATTTATGATAATAGTCTACAAGAAGTTTCAAACAAATGTTTTGAGAATTGTCAAGTTTTTTTCATACAAAAATCTCTTAGTAGTATCTCTCTACTAGTAGTTGTGAACTCAAGTTTTACGTTTAAAATATAAACAAATAAAACTACACCGAGCTCTACAAATAACAAATTTCATCAAGAAATCCATTACGTAAAAGTTGGACGCAACGTATATCCCGAAGACATTGGTTGGCTTAAAATTTAAATTTCAAATTATAAACTCGTATAGGGCTCGTAATCAAAAACTCATAAAATGATTAAAAATGTACCCTTACAAATGCATTATGTGATAGTTTGTTGGCATCACCTCAACCAGACCTATGACTTCCGTTTACAAATCTAATGAAAAGTTAATTTTACTATTAAAATTTGATCAATTCCTTGCCCTAAAAGTACTTGTTGTAAATGCACCAACTTTTTGCAAATGTACTAACATGCTGTAAATGCACTAACATGTTGTAAATGCACTAAAATGCTGTAAATGTACTTTGTAAATACACTAACATGCTGTAAATGCACTAACATGCTGTAAATGTACTAACTTGTTGTAAATGCACTAATTTGTTGTAAATGTACTAACTTGCTGTAAATGTACTAACTTGTTGTAAATGCACTAACATGTTGTAAATGCACTAAAATGCTGTAAATGTAATAACATGCTGTAAATGCACTAACATGTTGTAAATGCACTAAAATGCTGTAAATGTACTTTGTAAATACACTAACATGTTGTAAATGCACTAACATGCTGTAAATGTACTAACTTGTTGTAAATAAAAATACCATGTACCAATATGTATTGTTGTAACTGTAATTTTTCAGAAATAAAAAACATTCATTCATTCATTCAAATGCACTAATTTGTTGTAAATGCACTAACATGCTGTAAATGTACTAACTTGTTGTAAATGCACTAACATGTTGTAAATGCACTAAAATGCTGTAAATGTACTAACATGCTGTAAATTTACTAACTTGTTGTAAATGCACTAATTTGTTGTAAATGTACTAACTTGCTGTAAATGTACAGGTACTGTGAACGGGGTGAACATGATAGGTTTGGCTCTTCAAGGACCTTCAATACCAGGAATCGCACTCCCTCCACCAGGCCTGGATACACCCTTCGTGTCTAGGGGTGAGTAATCTTTTTATGTATTCAAATTCATTTGTTTTTGCTTTGTACAAGGTGTCCCGGAACTCTCTACCAGTTTTTTAGGGCATTGTTCCTCAGTAAGAAACATATCTGAATATGTAAATAAAATTGTCCGGAAGTCCTTAGTAACTCAAATAGCCACTATTCTGTTTTTTCACTTATTATTTTTTTTTGTCTAAAACGTTGTTAAACTCTGCACAAACATTCATGACAAAGCTACAAAACAATATGACGATTTTGCAAATTTATAAAACAAAATGCCAGATATTTAAAATGTTGTTACTTAAATAACTAAAAAAGCATTGGTTTTACAAAAGTTTTAAATAACCGCCATTTTGTTTTATGAATTTGAAAAAATCATAATCTTTGTATAGCTTTGTGTAGTTGTGATAAATGTTTGTGCAACGTTTCAATTTCTTATCTTTAACCACTTTTTAGAAATATAATATTAAGCAAAAAACAAAATGGCGGCTATGTGAGTAACTAAGGACTTCCGGACAATTTAAATATGATTTGTAGATATTTTTCTTACTCAGGAACATTGCAACTATAATTGCAACTATAATCTAAAATATTGGTAGAGAGTTCCGGGACACCCTGTGTAATGGTTTACCAAAGGCCAAAATATGGGTCTTACAAAAGTCAGGTTAAGAGTACAGGATCCAGGAAAATAAAACTTGTGTGTTGGATGAAGAATATAACTATTCAAGAGTTAAATAAATACATTTGCAATAGCAATAAAAGTGAATTTGTAGCAAGGGTAATATTTGATTAAATATCTTTAAGGTCCAATAATAAATTGTCACCCCTTCGGCATTTAGCAAATCTATTCAGAAAAGTTAAAAAGGTACTCAAATACCCGAAACCTGTGTTCCAAAACTATAGTTAGTTGAATCTTCTGTATTTTTTTTAAGTAAATTAATTATTAAATTTGCTATTAGAGTTAGATACTTGTATTATATTTATAAATTAAGTACTCAAGTAATACACTTGTTACAGTGATTCAGAATCATTACATAATCTAGACTATTATAAATTAGGTAAATTTGCCTAATTACTGTTCATCAGCTTTTAAATTGTGGTAATCAATATAAAGCTAACTGTTTTATAAATTTGATCAATATTTCTCAAATTTTGAAACAAAATCTCATTTGTAAAGAGCAATACTATTTCGGATAAGAACACCTGTTATTTAGCTGTCTGTTCATTATCAGCTGACATTTCTACACGACAAATGTTAGATCTTGACATTTAATACTTACTAATCATAGTATTCATTTTGTATTATCTCGGAGAGAAGTTTTAATCATGTACAAATTGCTTTCTGTGGATTCAGGTTGGACATTTAATGAGTCGTGATATATTATATGTCATCTTTACCAAGAAGCTTTGTGTTGTTTTACTGTTTACAAAAATTCCGCATTATATTTATTGTTCAAATCTTTATTATACCTAATATCCCTTTTACCTTTTAATATTGTTTTGTCTTAAAATAAAAAAGTTAAAAATGTCAAATGCAGTTGCCTTTTGCAATAATATACATTACAGAAGATAACTTTTCTATAAACTTGTATATTTTACACGAAAATTCCCTTTTTTATTAAAATAAGGAGGCTTAAATATTTCTGAGTGTTATAAAACTTGGCAGACCTCCAATACACAAACTATAATGTGAAGCCAACTGAACAGTATGTAAGTTATTATGAAAATGATTTTAAACGTTTTTTAAGTATACTGTATCATATTAATAATGCGCTTAATTATTTATCATTTTTTTCTAAAATATTATATTTACATTATCTATAACAAAATAGTTTTGGAATATTTAGCAGCATGGACTTACAAAATTTGAACGAAAAGAGAAGAAAATTAGCCCATAAGAGAACAACTGCAATCTCATTATTAAGAATGTCATCTGTTCACTCCTACTGAATATGATATTATCATAATATTCTAATACGTATATTCATTTCCCTGCATTCAACTCATTCAACATTCAACATTCAACTCATACTCAGAACTATCCTCTGATAATGAAATCTTAAACACATCTGCAATTTAGATGTTTATTTGAATTTAAATTAAAAATCTAATTACTGCAATTAACAGTACAAATGTGTAAAGACTAATTTACATTTCGATTTTGTGTTGTCGTAGTTAATGTGCATTAGTTCTAAACTTTCAGGGTTGAAATAATGACCCCATATGTACGATTGTATGACTTTTTGTTTTGGTAAGCCTTAGTACTAACTACCATTTGTTAAACTTTCATTAAATATATTTATTTATTGTATAAAAATATTTTATTACTAGACTAAATACATAATTCGTTTGTTTAAAATACAAGTACAGTGTATGAACCCATCTTAGGCAGGTTTTTTGGTTTTATAATTAATTGTCTCTGTTACTAAAACAGCACAGAGTAATTCATCATTTTATTCCATGTACAAATGTATAAAAATTCTTCTAAACCATGGATGACGCTTACTAAAAAGATTAAATTTACCTAAGGGTTGCCGTGGAAAACGAGATTTCCTTCTCATCCGAAAAAAGGTACCTGATCTTTAAAATTTAGTGAAAAACAAACTTTTCTTCTTGAAGGCTGGACACAACAAATTGAGGAAATACCATTGTACAATCGCTAAAATTTACTCCTTGTAATTTTATGTAACAGATTAAGACAATTTAAGGTTAGTTAAGAATAAGAATAAGAATAAGAATAAGAATAAGAATAAGAAAGTTTATTGCCGTTGACCAAGTTTACATAGGAATAGACATTGTCAAAACACATTAAATAAAATATTACTAAATATGTTCATATAGGTAACAAAGATTGAGAATAACGATTGAGAATTCTTAATTCACAGTATGAAAGATTCCGCTTTAATTTTATGTTTCATGAAGTACTGAGTAGAATGGGTTTGCTACAAGCCAGTTATAATTTTTGACTTAAAAAGAGGAAGAGAAAGGCTGTCTACCTGAAGAGGCTCAGGCAGCTTATTATAGAATTTCACAGTTAAGTTTGAAAGAATTACCTGTGATGGCTAGCCTGTGATGTGGTATATCCAGTTGTTCCCTATTTCGTGTATGGTGGAAATGATAATTCTGCCTGGTGGAAAATTCATTGAGATTCTGTATATTTTTCAAATAATAAACTAGGGATAATAGTTATTTGTGTAACTAGTGAGCGAAGCACGTTGTTTTGTGTTGTTTGGTTGAAATGCTGCTGTGCGACAAAGTAAAAACTGTGCGAGAATGTAAAAAGTGTGCGGCAAAGTAAGTAAATGCAGCAATTAGCAGTTTTATGTACTGTAATCAGTTCAAGGAAGCGCACTTAGTCGAGTGACTGTAGCCGCAGGCGAGTGCGGAATGATCTCGAGTGCAGCAAAGGCCTTTTACACTCGTGTTACACATTATAAAATCCCTCGATAGTCGTTCCCGGTTTGTGGCAGCACTAAAAATCTCTATTTTGAACGTATGGCCATGGTAGGTTTGTCGTAGGGGCCTGTGCGCATGGCGGTCGCTGACTTGTATGTATGTGTGAGTAAGTGTGTGTGTGTAAGTATTTTTAAAATTTACTGATTTTGATGAAAGTTTCTGTATCTATGATTTCTGTTTTGTTTTATTGTATAAGCTGATTATGTTAAAATATTTATATTATGTTTTAAAGTACAGGTTAAGTGTAAGAAAGGGCCATGTGGCCCTAACTTTGCCTGTATAAATAAATGATTTTTCATTTCATTTCATTTCATTATATTTTTCCTACAGTCACTATAAAGCATATAAATAATTAGTCTTTCAAACACTATACAACACGTTTTTAGGTTCAGCAGGCAACACCAATAGTTGCCCTAGAGAAAGTAGTCCCCGGTCCGTATCACTCCGCTATTTTTTCCTCGGCAAGCAATGTGCTCCGCGACTTGAGAAAATAGTTCCGTATATTTTTGTAATTTGCAGTGGTTTCCGCACCTAAAAAACTCTTTAAAGGTATTTTCTTGTTTATTAAGATCGTAGGAATGTTTAAAAAACGTTTAAAAGAAAAGTCTAGAAAGTTCAGAAATACCAAAAAGAGAACATAAACTATAAACACGAAATGAAAATGACAGGTTAAATCGTAGTTATAATAGTCAATCAGCTGCTCATAGTATTATTATCTTTAAGTGTTGCCAACCAATCATAAAACCAACCATAAACCAACCATATGGAAGATAAGGTTTTCACCAAGAACTTAAAGGAACTTCTCCTAGCAAACCCATTTTACTCAATTGAAGGATTTTTTGAAATCTCAATAACACTGTCGCTAGCATAAGCATCCACCGCCGCTGCGCAGTCAGTATATTTTAAATATATGTTTATTTAATTGTAAAATTGTAATTAGTAGTTTTTAATTATTTTGACGCTATTTATCCGGCCCAGGCTGGTCAACGATGAAGAGGAGGTATTTCAGGTATTTCAGGTATAACCTATTTCCAAGCATACACGGATTACGTGCATAATAGAACAACGCTTTTTTGTGTTGTTTCGTTGGAATCCTGATGTGCGCCAAAGTATAAACCGTACGACAAAGTATAAATATGCAGCAATTAGCAGGTTTCTGTACTATAAACAGTACAAGGAAGCCAACTTTGTCGGGTGACTGTAGGAAAAGATTTTTTCAATATTAAAGCACTCAAACGTTACCAATACTTAACACATCACAACCGGCTTCAGAATAGCAAGAAATGCCTTATTACCTTTTCAAGTTCAATAATTATAATATAACTTACACTTTATGAATTTATAGAAAATCTTCAATTTAACTGAATGATGTATTCCTGGACGATTTTTAAAGCGTTCAAACGATAAGTTTATTTTAAATTTTTTTTCTATCCTGATTTCACTTAATAGGCTTAGGTCTTCATTAATTTAAACTAGAACTTTGCAACTAGGCAAATAGATTTGACTTATCAAGTGATATTTGGCCAGAGCTGAACGTCTTAAAGGTCGTAATCATGATAAAAAATAAACACAATTGCACATAAAAATTTGAAAACCAATAAAAATTTAAGCAAAAACTAATATTGATAGGATGAAAATTATGTCCTTAAAAATTAAAACTCTTTACAGGCATAACTTATACTTATCTATCGTCTTGTGCTTGTTAACAACTTTACAGTATATAGGTAACATGTTTAAGTAGTATTTCATAATATTTGTACCTGTCGTACGTAGGACCATGATTTTGTGTAGATCAATAGCTAAAGACAGTATGTTGTTACAGAGCTCGATGTGACGTCACCACCCAGCCTAGCTCTGGTACCCAGCAGAAATGTAGTCGCGCCAGCCCCGCTACAGCCTCGTGCCGCCACCATAGGCAATATAAACCTTCTTCTGCCTCTACAGGTACAGATATAATACAAATGAAAGCTTGTTTGTTTGTTGGGGCTCAATCATGTATTTACTGCTGGTTGGATTGGACTGAAATTTGGCATAATGATAGCTCATATTCCCCATTGAAATTTAGGCCTATTCGCACCCCTAAAATCCGCCTCAGTAGCTCTGGAGTCTCACAAAGTTTAAAGGAATCAAAGAATCTTGACAGCCAAACAAATAATTGGCTTCTATGGTGTTAAATAGGATTATTAAGTTACTAGGTTTAAAAAAAGAGTGCAGAACTATATTTTTCGGGCAACACAGACAAAAGTAAGATAGTTGCTTTATTATATTTTCTGAAATGGTATTCTTAACATAATCCCACTTCTATCTTCAACTATCACTATCTTTAAAAAAAGCTTTGACATTAATAAAAAAAATCTATTGTGATGTGTTTGCATGATGACAGATAAATTCTTTTTGTGTGTTCATCCATCATATATATGGCCAAACGGGAATAAAAGTCATGTAATTTTTTCCGTTATGTGAGATGTGATTCCTTAAGTTGCCGTTAGATCGGAATATGGCACTAGCTGCGCTCGGCGCTACCCAATGGTGTTTGGTAAAGAAATGTTTGTCTATTACTTCGCTAGTTATTAATTCAGTAGAACTGGAATTTTAGAGACCTCATGAGCTGATATTTCGTATATCAGAGCTATTTGTTGATATTTCATCCTAAGTAGGGGTCCGTGGATCGGAACCACGTCGTCATCGTCCTGAAGTTCCAGCCCAGGGAGCTGAAACCCTGAACATGGGATTTACCCTTTTGAACTGAACCATTACCAATTAATTAATACAAAAATATACCAATTAATTAATACAAAAATATACCAATTAATTAATACAAAAATACTAGTAGCGATACACAGTTTGCATAATTTATGGGACCCCTTTAAGTTAAAAAAGTCTCTAAGTTTCAAAATTCAAATTCTAGACTTACGGTAGGTGGTGGTGATCAACACTGAACGGTTTAAGAAAGAAAGGTGTGTGCACAGAAGAAGAAATTTACAATTTACTTCAACTAACACAATCCAAAACAAAAAGTACTATACTACTTTGTTAAGTATAAAGCATACCAATTACTTTAAATTACTTGTTATAAAGGTTTAAGATTTGACAGCTAAAGCAGAGCATGAAATATATATCTTTAATTAAGCTAAGCATTTTAAAAATATAAAATTGTTTTTTTAACATTTTATTTTTACTTAATTAGAATGCATGGCTTTTCACTTTTTAAAGTTTTTTCGTTCCAAATACTTTGGGTTTGACTCTTAAAACATTTATTAGACTTTTACCAATAACTTATATATTACTTATATATTTATTAGCTAATAATTTTCAACCAAATCAACCGTCGTAAGCCGTTAAGTAATCTGAAGGAATATCAAGAACAAGAGAAGAACAAAAAGTTGAAGACTATATTAAAACTTTAGCAACTTCTGTTTGTCTTATAGATCAAAGTTTTCTTCGCTTTGAGGAAGCTATTATATTCAAATCATTTTCGGGTTGCTAGATGCATCGACAACTTTTCTATAGGACGACATTTTTTAAGGAATATTGTATATGGATTTTTTATGAGGCATTTACTAACTATTTTCTCACTTAAAGCCTAATGCTATTTTTGAGAATCCAAAACATTTGACGTTGGATTGAGACGTTAACTCTCTCATTTATAACTCTGAGGGACTCAGATATAAGGAATAGAAAACGATCAGTTCATTTGCTTAACCTTGCTCTCAATTAGTTCTTCATTTGCCTACTACGCACCCTAGTTTTTTAAAAGTTGTTTTTATTGTTGAAACAACTACAAACAAAAACAGGCATTGTTGCCGCGTGATGAAAAGTATCGTTCATAACTTGAACTAAAAGTCTCCAGCACTTGCTTCAAATATTTTTATATTCTTCGTACATGAAACTCGAACTCCAAAATTCCCTACTACTTGTACGTCAAATTTGGTGTTCATGGGTGAGACCATTCTAAAACTTTACTGTAAATTGAAAAAAAAACTGCTATTAGCGCTTTTAATTAAATGTAATATACTACGAAGATTAATGAAAATTACTTTCTTGACCATAATTTCTTTTCAAATATTTTGATAGATTTTTCACTTCAATAAAAAAAAACTGTAAAATTATTTTCTCTACGTGGTTTTATGACAATTTTAACACACCCATTAAGTTTAAATTTACATAATGGTGCAGTATCATACATATTATGGAGTCAATTAAACATAAAATTAATACATTATACTAAATGTTTGAAAAAAGGTAGCCTTATAATAACATCATAATACAACTGAGAAACTTACTTTTTACCGTACATTTCAATAACTAACTCTTAGAAATAACTTCGGCACAATATATAATTCCAAACATAAAAATTAAATAACCAACGTAATACAACAACTAAATTGGTAATTAGAAGATTTTTTTAACGAGTTGTTAAAAAAGTCAGTTGTAACAATATCACGTCTAATTGGCTGAAGGCTGTACCATTCGAACGGAGCCTTTGAAATGACTGAAAATGAGGTCAATCCAAAGCGCTTGTTAGTGCAGCTCTAGAAACCCAAACCACTACTAATGCTGGGAGTAACAGGCAACAAAACACAGGGTTAACGAGCAGACTTTGGATAGAATTTGTACAGTGAATAGTTAGCGTTTTTTGTGTTTTAGCGAATTCCCCATATAGGGAACAAGCTATTACCGTAGTACTCATGGTAAGATCTGGACCCGGGACCGATTTAATTTTTCGTTTTGAGGTCCCTAGAGGCCGAAAACATCATCCGTTCAAATCCATATATATTTATATAGGTCTATGTATGTGTTTGTGTCTGTCCGTTAGCGCGATCACTTGAGCAATTTTTGTCCAACTTTGATGAAATTTAAAGGTGTAAGGTGGGATAAACTTGAATGAGTTCGCGAACCAGCATGATCGGACCATGGGAACAGGGTTTCACGGGGGGTTTTATGGGGTAAAAATGAGTTTTTCCCATTTTTGACCCTATAAACATAACATTTTGCGATTTTTTTAACCATTTTGTAGAGCTTAAAAAACCAATAATATAGTATTGAAGTGTTTTTGTACAATTATTGGTTACGGACGAAATTCAAAAAATTTTAAACGTAAAATTCCTATGTTGTTCTTATGGAGAATAAGTAAACTGTTGTAGTTTGCTATTTTATGAATGTATTTTGATAAAACTTTTTTTATTTTACACTAAGTTTTTGTATTTTACCAAAAAACTATTTTTACCCTCCCTAGTAGCAGCAAACCTAGGTATATATCAAACCTAATGGTATTTAGATATATTTAAGTGAAAATCAAACCAGGCAATTGAAAATTCGCTTAGTCTGCAAGTTTGCTGCGACGGGGGTATTTTTCATTCAATCGATGCTGGATATTATTGGATTAGGTTAACTGATTAGCGTAAAATGTCCCCAGATTTTTTGTTTTAAAGGAATAGATATGAGATATTCTTTGAAGTTAAACGATAACTGACTGGGTATCCTAGTAGTTATAGAGCTAGCCTAGCAATTTAAAAGGTCGTTGGTTGAATCCTGAGAGAAATCTGTAGCTTTTAATAGTTCAACACTGGACCTAGATGTTCTTTATCCTAACTAAATGCTTAAACTAAATGATGGTAGCTCTTGAAACAGCTGATCTTAGTCAGTAACTAAGCTGCACAGATCATCTCACACCATTCTACACCTAACCTTCAATTATATTTTGGGTAAAATACACACCTAGGTGGCGTCCTTATCTAATTAGTACTGATAATTGCTATTGATAATATGCCTAACTATATGTAGTATATTATAAAATCATAATAAATACAAGTACCTACAAAAATATGAATTACGTGTGGTTAGAGCCTTATATTTATTTGGCATATTTCTTTATTTAAGACGAAAATATTTTGTAGGATTTGGCATAATTTCCGTTTTGGTGTGTATCTGAGAAAATATAACATTTAGTACGAAGGTGCATATACAAAATGAGCGGAGATAAGGTTTACTATACCTATAGAACTGAAAAGTGGCATTTCCACTTTTATTTGATTTGTATTTACATAAAAATTGAACAACAGTAGAAATACCACTTTTAAGTTTTTAAAATGTTTTAAGTTTTTAATCTTTTTGAAAGTTTTTTTTCTAAATTTTTGTGTATTTAAAATTTTTAGTTTTTTTTATTTAAAAAGTTTTTAGATTTTTTTATTTTTTTCCGTTTTTAAAGTTTTAAAAAATTCTTAAACATTATTAAAGTTTTTTTTTTTTTTAATTTTTCTGTCCTATAGTTACCCTATGTAAAACATCTGTTCTGTTACAGCCCCGACTACTGGCAGAGGACTTGAGAGCGAGGACAGTGCTGCAGTCGAATGTACAACCCTCCCAACTAGAGTCCGTCAATCCTTCTTCCAACTGAACTGTCGCCAGAGGTGCTACCTGCTACGTCCACGACCACCAAGAACGCGCAAACCAATACGACCACGTCAAAAATTATACTGGCGTGCGTCTTTTGATAAAACTACCTGACAGCACAAAACATACGTCAAATAACACTTTTGATAATATATTTACACTTATATTGTTTACTGACAAGACGGTAAATCCATATAAAATTTGGTAAGATATGGTATAAGTGTAAATATATTATTACAAGTTATTTGACACATTTTTTGTGCTTTCAGGTAATTTAATAACACGTACGATGCTGATGTTTGTTTTTGTAACTACCTGAAATTTTTTTATGTTTAGAACGTCAGATTATAAGTTTAATTTTAGTTTTACTATAAAATTTCCTCTAAAGTTGTCTATAAATAAGTTTTTATACATATACATTTGTCAAATGTTGTTGAATAAGATGTTAACAATTATTTTGAATCATCAATAAAGTGTATTTGTCTAAGGAAACATAATATTCCATTCATTAGCTATTTACTATTGAAACAATTTAGGTTTTTCGTAAAAAAAATTTTCTCGCCTTAACTACAATTACTTAGTGCATGTACCGCAAAACTCATTATTTAGTTAATTCACGATTTTGTAAAAATATTTTATTCAACTTAATTAAAATTTTGAGTTTGAAATATCTCACACCACTTAAAACACATTGAACACCCTTACAATACCTAAAAACGAAGCAGCATTTCAAAGACATTTTCAACGATTCCATTTATTCCTAATACATTTACATTACGATTTTGGCTGTGTAAAGAAAGTGCTAAATGCCATTTTGTAGCCCCTGTACATTGTCCTTCATAGATGGTAATAATTTTGTATGTGTAGTTTAAGACGAGGGTTTTAAGCATTTGTTAATTGTACGGTTTACATATCCTAAGAACATAGTCTACAATCACGAGAGTTTGCATGATAGTGTAATAATTGACCAGATTGATCCAAAGGGTCCAGAGTTATATCAATTGTGCAATTCAGGTTTAATACTGGCTCAAGCATATTTTTATACTTTATTTCCGAGCTTAGGTCATTGTGCATGCTTGCTCATTGTGTAATTCTATGTCAGGTTTTGGTAGGTTATCATTTAATAAAGGTGGTATGACACTGACTTGGTTAGATTACCTCATTGTAGAAGGGTTCACGTTCCTAAATCTTCTTTGGATACTGAGGGAAAAAGTCATATTTTGGTTGAGGAGTTGATCTCGACAAGGACGAACATTTTTGATAATAACAAAACCCTGTTTAAAGTGTTTTCTTGTTAAAAAATAATGTTTAGTTACAGCATAATATTATTTGATGACTTCTGTTCTGAGGATATAAAGTTTTTCAAGCACACCCTCTTCGATACAAATTAAGTTTCCCTTTTAATATGACCATTTCTACGTTTATTTACTTTATTTTGTGATAAAATATGTGGTTATATGGCAATTTTACATAAATAATATTTTTTATTTCCTAGAAAAATTAATAAATCTGATAAAACATGAATATTAAGAAAAATACAAAATTCCAATTTAAAATCCTGATACAAGCACTATCACACATTATCTAACCTATAAACCCCTATAAATTCAAATATTTTAAATCATAAGTTTATATAGAACATGAAAATGTTAGGGGTTAAGCTGTTGAAACCTCTTCATACTACTTATCTTGCAGCATAAAATATATTCAAATATTGTTAAAATGTAGTGGAAAATCAGGTTTTAGCAGTTACTGTTAGATTAAACAGCCTAATTTAGGCTAACATTTTGATTTAATAAGTATATAATTCGACCTAAACTTTTACAGTAGATTATTGGAATTATAAATTAATGACAATCACATTGTTTGGTAGATCTTTAGTTATGATAATTTCAAGCTCTTTGTGTGTCCACCTTTGTTCAATGATTTCCTACCTTGATGACTATTCCTGTAATTCGTCCTACGTTGGTTTCCTCGTATTACTTAAATTTGCCTAATGCTATGCCAGTTGTTAAATAGTTTATAATTGTTTAGTGTAACGATAAGAAATGAGCGGTGTTGTATGTTTTTAAATAATAATAAATTGGTTATTTTGTGTAGAAATTTGGAATTTCTTAATCACCTCAAATACATATTATGATCTGTTGTGTAAATATCTTATGGTGGAATGAAAAAACAAAAAATCTATTACCTAAAACTGTAACTTACAGTAGCAGTTTCATTTCAGTTCATAGAATTGAAAAGATTCACTTAACAGCATTGTTTTACATACAACACGTGTAACGAACCAATAAAGTTTAAGGATTGAGAAAAAGAAGTAAAATATTTTAATGCTTTGATCTTCAACTAATCAGCTGTTAAGACCAATTTAATTGTCAATGAGCTAATAAATGTTAATAAGCGGTGGAATTCTACTCACTGTTCTGACAGTTTCATCTTTATTAACGTCACTCTTTTAATGCATTAAAAGCAGCATTAAAGCTATACAAATATATTGCACGCCTAACCACCGTGTTAGTACAACCTCACACAAAAGTAATTGTTTAGATTCCGTGCATTTAACCTGCTGGTTTGTATACCCGCATCACATGTTTGCCAATAAAAAAAAGTATATTTGGCAAATAAAAAATACTTTGTGTTTGGTTCTAGTTCACTGGTTGTCGAAATACATGCGGGTTGAATCTTAAAAGCGTGGATTTTGTATCTTGGGAGTAATTTTTTGGCTTCATATTACTTTTTCTCAATTGCTCAATTGTATGTTTTTAAGTGTCTCAGCCGTTCCTTAAAAAAACGCAAAAATATACACCACTTACATTCGACCGGTTATTAAATTAGTAGTTTGACAAATTGTTTACCTTTATCCGGTTGTCTAAAAGTAAAGTTCAAGTTTTAAGCTTAATTTGTTAGCTGGAAAAGTAGTTCTACCTCGTAAAAAATATTTGTTGGTAATTCTAATGTCGTTTTACCATTTAAGACATTTTCCGCACTTAGAACTGGCATAGAAATAATCACTCAGATCGATTTACTCGGGCTTGTACGTCTTTTACATTTGTACTAAATAACCTTAAGTTTGCACTGTATAAACTATGATACCTATTTTTACTGATAGCACTAATTACAGTATAGCTGGAGTAAGTGTAATTGTATAATTTAATGTGCTAGTGCATCTCTTTACACTCTCTTTCATCCTTTTAAGTATTTTTTACCTGTGAGTCATATCAATGTGAGCCATTAAAAGACCATTAACCAAGAACAGCTGGGTATAGTTTCGTAATATCTAAGGCTACCACTAGCTCCTCAGGAATCAACTAATGACCTACATTGTTAGATGAGCACTGTGTTCTCTCGGCTGCACAGGTATAAGATACGAATATTATAGTGAATAGCTTACCCCGTCGTGGCTGCTTTACTCACGAAAATTTAAGTTAAACATATGTGACCACTTAAGTTAAACTAAGAGAGAACTTTTCCATTTACAACAATACTGTCCTACTACCATGAGCTTCGGACTTCTCACTCTGAATACATATTTTTTGTTACAGAAACAATTCCCGCTGAATCTTCTTTCACTTAGGTTTAACTACATTCTTAAACCTAACTTTCCAATAGTACTGTCAGATCTCACATAACTTATTGGAAAGTTTAATTTATCTTAAAGTAAAATTAAGTAACATAAAAACCTAGCACGATGTTTTATTGTGGTTCTTATAACCCTCAAAGGCCCTAAGCAATTGCAGGTCTACAGAGTCTATGATGTTTTCACCAAACGGAATGTACTCACATAAAAGTGGCTTTTATTACCTCTCCAGTAAAAAGAATCATTAACACCGATATCATGCATTTATCTACAAAAATCCCTTAAAAGCTAATACTTTTTACATAATCCACAAAATACGTGTATTGGGATTGTAAAGAAACATACTCATCTGAAATTGCATGATAGTGAAATCTTTATCATCCTAGGGATGGAAGTGGACCTTATCAAGCACTTCTGATCTTCTCTCTTGAGTACCCTTTATAAATAATCAAAAACTAGTGATAGAAGAAGAAAGGATGCCATCCCTTAAAATATTAGATAAAAATGGATTTCAAATTAGTTGTTCCTTTGACATTGATATTCTGAATACATAATCCCTAAAAGATATACCGTTATTTATTTGCTGAGAAACAAATCTTAAAAACTTCAACAAAGTATTTGACACATTCTTGAATTTTAAATCCATTTGACAATTACAAACAGTGTTATGCAGTAAAACACAAATATTTAAGCCACAAAATAAGTTTAATGCAAAATATTTTCATTTCAATCAAATAAATACAACCAGCTGTTTCCTTAGTTAATTCATCTGTTTAAAATTAAACAAATATTTTTCCCCATAAAGATAACATGGAAACTTTGGAGGCAACTGGGGCAGAGTCCTGACTGAATTTCTTAAAAACGCTTCTTATTGCACACCTAGGTCCTAATTAGAATCTCCATGCTAATTCCTGAGTTGTTATGGTTAGTACTTTTTTAAATACAGTGATCAGTGTGTCAGTGAGTGGTATTTCAATTTTGTAATAGTGAACCTTACAGTTTAATACAAGGTAAACAGGCAAAAAATAACATAATAAGTGAACTATGTAAGTATTGACTCACACGATAGTAATGTTGATTCCCTAAGCATTAATGATCACAATTCCTCAGGTCTAAGAATTAAATTTCCATTTTCACTCTCATCATTATGATCACCTGAGAAGCTATCGGATTTATCCAATCTAAATGAAAGAATGAAAGGTGCTACAGTTCAAATGTTAAGGGCGGGGATGAAGGTCTTAATCAGAAAATAATTACTTGCGACCGAGAAGAGGGTTTCCTAAAGAGTCTAGTGAAAGGCGAGACCTGAATGCAGCTTTAGAGACTGCAGATATCAAATTTTCAAGTCTTTCATAAACCCACCGCTAATGAATAATACGAGGCCATTGCGTTTTATCTCAGTTTTGCCCGGCAAAGTTTAACAGCAGTGAAAACGTTTATGTTTGTTACGTGACTTATTAAATTTCTAAAGTAAACAGTGGAAATTAAGTTTGTTGTTGAATTTTGATAATGAACTATTTATCTAAGACAAGGCATGGTTATACAATTTTTAGCAAATTTTCCATATAGGGAATAAGCTATTACCGTAGTACTCATAGTAAGACCTGGACCCGGAACCGATTTACTTTTTCGTTTCGAGGTCCCTAAAGGTCAAAAACACCATCCGTTAAAATTCATATATATAAACCTACATTTATCCGAACGAGTTCGCGAACCAGCATGATTGGACATTGGGAACGGGGGTTAAGGGGAGTTTAATGGGGTAAAAAATTGTTTTTTTTTTTCATTTTTGAGTACATTGAAGCATTATTATGTGCTGTTTATGAACCTTTTTTGATCAAATTGGAAAATGCATTTATTTCTTACTAAACTATTAATATTATAAAAAAATAAACATTTTTACCCTCCATTTTTGCAACAAACCTAAGTACTCGTTAAACTAATTCTATTTAAATAAGCAATAAATGTGATATTTTTCAGGAGACATTTTAGTGTAAATCCAATCAGGAAAAAGGAAATTCTCTTAGTCTGCAGGTTTGCTGCGGTGGGGGTATTTATTGTAAGGGTTGTTTAAGGGCTGTCATAAGTAATGAAATGTTTGTCTACAACACATATTCTGCAAACAAAACCTAAATACTTATCTAAGTTACTATCTACTTATTCTAAAGGAATACTGTATGTACTAAAACCTGGAAACTAATTGATTTTGGAAAATTCTTTCCATAAAAAAATGAGATTTCAGTCACAGATTGTTTTTATCATTTTTAAATAAAACATATTATGATGTGTAAAATAAGAACTTGAATAATACTAAATTATATTTTGAGATTATTAATAATCAGAACCCAGACGATTATATAAACAATATTCGTTGATTAATATAGTCAATAATTATGATTAAACATATATTTTATAGACAAGAAGGTGCATGTTATATATGGTTCCTCTCTACTTATTTGATAGATATGTTCTTTTAAGGTCTTAGGTTTGAGGGTAGTTATTTTTGCTTAGTATTTTATTGAAAAATAATTTTAGTTTCACAATTATTTGTCATATGAGCTATTGAATGCAGCAAATTTTTACGACCATTTGAACCACTATAACAACAACCCGCCGTGAATAGTTGAACGGTTAAGGTAAGATAAATCATTTTAATTTCTAATAAAAGTAAATTATTTTTTGCAAAACTGTTTGATAAAACCTTAGAATTTCCTTTTTATTTACTAATTTTTTCATCTATAAAATAAATCAATACCTCAAAATTATCTTTAAAAGCCGATATTTTGGTTTATCATGATTTTTTTGTTTGGGTGTGCAATTGTTAGTTCCAATGAGTCAGCTACAACAACAACTTGATACGAAATGCCATTTAGAACCTTTTTAAATCAGAGTTTGTACATTTTTATTCATAGGTAGGACGTTTTTGAAAGTGTCAAATACAGTGTTTTTGGACTGATTTGTTATAGTATTAAACTCATAATAGTTGAAGTCCTAATTAGCCGTTCATGTATTAATTTATAATTCACCCATGCAAGGAGGGCGTCTTAGCTGTTGTTTTGAGTTATTGTCTACCATTCTATTCTAAAGTTTAATTTGAATTTATTGAGTTAAACTATTTTAATCATACCCAACAGGTAAACACATAACACGACCATTCATTTAGTACAACCCAGAGAAGTTAATCAATACATAATTTCATCTGCAGTAAACTCTGCAAAAGCAATACCTGTTCCAAGTAATTCAACATAATTTATTTTTGTAAACATAACACCACCAGACGATGAATTTGTCAATAAAACTTGTTTAGGTAAGTATTAACCTTATGGTAACGGTTTCGTTTAGTCTGGATCCTAATTAGAATATAAGAGAGCAATTTAATATTATTAAATGGAACGTGCTCACGTATAATAAACATTTACCGGTGAAAATAAAAACAATATGAAAATGTAAATATCAAATGCCACATTAAGTAGAACTTCAAAATTGTTCTTACTTTGTTCAGAAATAGAAGAGGAAATGTGAAACGACTTATACCTAGTCTTAATACTGAGCGGTAGTCAAGAATCACGTTTTGTTGAATTTATGCAAAAACGTTGGTTGCTCAAATTCATTATTTTGTATAAAGGGAATCGAACTTGACATCGAAGAACAACCAGTTGCATATTAGCCTATTACGCTATCAAGGAACCCCGCTTCTTGATCTCTGACGACCATGGTGTCATATCTTTTTAGAGAGTTCTTCACATACATTATAAAATAATGTATTTACTAAATAATTTTTTAAACTGCCTATCCCTTTTCAACAAAGCACAACCACACCGATAAAACAAACGCCCACCTTAAAATACAGTATAAATGTTTTCAGTTCGAAGACTAAGAACTAAGAAGCTTAAAACGTCACAGGGGAGCGTAAAAGAGGAGACAAAGAAGAGACGGGAAGATTAAAGCCGTCGGGAGAGCCTCCTCGGGCACCTCGGTGCGAAAACATAGAATTTTCCGTCATATGTAGGCTAAGAAAATGAAAATTTTCAACTTGGACGTAGGGTGGATCTGAACGTCGTCATGGAGACGGCATGGCGGGATATGCGCGCGCAGTGGGTATGCCATGGGAGCGCAGTTGGCTTCGATCCTTGGCCGTTAGCGGACGGGCATGTTGTAGCTGAAGTGGAACGAGGGCGTTAGTGTGTGTGGTGAAGTGGAGTGAAGTGTATCACCTTCAGGAGTCTGCTAGAGAACGTCGCGGATGCCGAGGAACCGGGAAACATGAGGAAAAGAAAGGTGGGCGGGAGGTAGAGGGTACTCCCACTCAATCTACATTCTATACTTGTAGTACACTAATCAACGTTTTCTATACGTTATTTCATAAGGTATATATATGATGGTGTTAAACACTAGGTTGACCTTGAGCTGGATCCACCGCCCACCCTATCCACCGGTAGCCATTCACCGGTCGACGCTAGGGTTGTTAAACGTGTCCAATTAAAAAACTCCTAAGCTGAGGGGAGAGACAAGGGAGTCTCTTAGAAATATTCTCTCTTTGTTTCTTTTTAAGTTTTGCTGCAATGTTTCCTTTTGGATTCAAAACTTCGTGTAGGGATTGAAATTGAAACCAACCAGCAATAGCAGTATTAGAGATTCTTTTGTAACATTAGTTTTTTTGTATTACTAAGTATTCAATTTGAGGTACCACAATTGGTATATGCTTAGATTTTGAATTATTAATTAACACTTAGGCCTAACTAAAACTAGATATCTGTTATATACTGCATTTTTTTTATTTTATACTTATCTTTGCAAATGAAAAAATATTCTTATTTTTATAGAAAGTCGAGTTATAGTTAGTCAAGAGTAATAACTTTATAAGTTTTCTTTGCTAGATCCTGGAAGTCTGAGAAGACCTGGAGTTTTCTTCTTTATACCTTTTTTTAAAATGGATCATATACATTATACTATAACTAATGTTAATGAACCAGAAATATGTAATTATAATGTTAAACATACATCATAGGTACACTATTTAAACCCAATAAATTTGATAACAAATAATAATATCTTTTTTGTTTTAAAATATCGTATTTTTTACTCAGACATGACAGAGAGGTCTACTTGCATGTATTTTGGTAATAGATTTCTCAACCCTAAAGTTTATTACTAAAAATAGCACATATTTCCAAACAAAAATTCTCTGTACAGTACACTTAATTCCTTAACAAAATCAAAATCAAACATTTGTTGAGCATGTCATCAAATTGACCAAATATGACTTACGATAGTTAAAACTGTACTGAAACATAACATACCCCCAGTGCAGCAAACCTGTATAACTACATAACAGCTCCTCCAAAACACCAGCTTATTCCGTATAAGGGAAAATCGATGAAAGTCATTTTTAATTTATGTTAACACTATGACTTAACATTTAACAGTTAAAATATATGATAAGTCCTAGAAACTTATATGTTGGTTACTCGAAAACTTTTAATTTTATTATGTTTTTCTTGTTTAGACAAGAAGTGTATTATACCTTAAGATAAGATATTTCTTGGGTTGAGAAAATAAAAGGCTGATTTGATAATTTATATAACAATTTAATTAAGCTGGACAGATAATACACTAAACCATGTAGGAATTAGATTAAAAATATCATTATGATAAGGGATTCATAAGACCATACAATAGATAATCGTATTAGTAGATCATGTAGATAAGAGATGCATTGAGCCAAATAAATAAGAGATATGAATGCGATTGAATTGAGATTGATTGATGAATGAGAAGATATGATAGAAGAGATTCAGTAGACCTTATAGATGAGAGATTCAATAGACCATGAAGATAAGTGATTTGTTAGACCATAAGGGAAAGAGAATTATACCTTATTCACAAGGGATTAATTAGACCAGGTAAAGTTTAGATTTATTGGAATGTATATATAGTAGATTCATTATACAATTAGATAAGAGAACTACTGTATAACAAAATACAGAAAAGAGATGCATTATATGCGGTTCAATAGGCCATTTAGCTACGAGAATTTACTAGCCTGAATGGACAAGGGATTCATTAATTCGAATAGATAATATATGCAATTGACTAACATTAACTAGAATTATTAGGCCTACTGAATATGTGATGAGGTTATCCACTTCTGGGTAAAAACGTGTTGTCATTACTACCAAAAGGAAGAACCACCATATATGTTTTACCATCTTAAGTCGATTAGATCGTTTTTTAACAAAGAACTGTTGAAACCCCGTAGTAAAAATTATTTGTGCGTATATAACGGATTCGTGTATATTGTACGATAACAAAAGGATTAGTTTCAATAGTAGTATAATATCCAATTGAAACAGGTGTTAAACAGAGATTTATGTTAAACAATTTTCTCGAATTCTATACTGTATTTTTTTTGTGAACCTGATATATCATGTTTATAAAAATACACTCCTGCTTTTACAATGATGTTTGCATTGTAAATTTCAATGGCTTCAAACTATGAATGTGGATCATAAGCCATTCAAATAAATGTGTAACAATTTTGAGCGAACATGAACATATTGCTCGTAACACATTGGTTGAACTGCAACAAGCTAGCGAACTATTCATTTGGTTTACAGCACCCATAAACCTAATTACCAACTCGAATGCTACGATTATGATACTTGTGACCTACTAAACAATGTTACAGTTTGTTGCATAATATTTTCATAACACAACATTACATATAATTGTGGATTGGCAACAAACAATTGAGCCTTAAAATATAACTCGAGATAAAATATTTCTTTTATTTTTAAGCTCACAGTTATTTTGAATTTTATATGTTTTTTTATTGATAATAGTTTGTTGGTAAAAAGGGTATTTTTAACATAGTATGATATTAAGTTTTTATATTAGTATGAGGGTTATTGCCTCTGAAATTGTTAATGCACCAGTAGCATTTTGATTACCTCCAGTCGTCCAGTTTAACTCTCGTCGTATTTTGCCACCTACGTTTCATCAGGCATCGGCATGATATAATGTAATCAGTCCATGGAATGACGTCAAGTTAAAACAATATACAGTACAAATACATTTTTTACAAAGAATAGTTTGGTTTCCTTTAGTCCTCCAAGTCAACTGTCGTACTCTTGCGACTTATGTTTTTGTACATGATTGGGCATCAGGCATTCGAAAGAAATGTAGTCAGTTTATTGGATGTCTTGGGGTTAAAAATGTATACAGTCCACATCATGCCACTACTACGAAACGTGAATACAAATATTTAAACTTTTACCGATCAGTACTTACATTGATATAGACGCATGCACATTTGTAGGGTCATCGGTCGCGACGAGTAACATCCGAGCCACTCTAGCAGAACGCTGCTTTGTGTCTGCCTGACCTTTGTCCTTTGTACCGTCCGAATCCTGTAAAATCCATTGGTACTAAATGCGTTTGTACCAAATGAGTATAACGTAAATAAAAAACATCAAACGCCAACTAACATAACACATAATCTTTGTTAAAATATCAAATTAAAACATAAATGGAACAAGAAGATAAGGAAAGGTAGAATCTATAGCTATTTGTGTACCAAGTGGCACTTTGCTGCACATGAGATAAATGTTTGCGCACCAGCCGTAGGCGAGTGTGGAAAGTTTTTCGAGTGTAGCAAAGGGACTTTGCGCTCACGTTACACGTTATATTTTCCTACAGTTACTAAAAAGAATATAAAAAACAGTAATTAGTATTTCAAGCACTTTTTTAGGTTAGGTTTTAGGTTTTAGGCACACGTTTTTAGGCTAGGTTAAATCCAAACGTTGAATGAAATGGGAAACGCTGCACAAGCCGATCGTATTCGTAGTATCTTTAAGTGTACCCACTTATTTTAAAGCGTACACGTAGTACGAGCCTAATGCAGTTTTAAACTGTTTTTAGGTTCCTTCAATAAAACGAATCGCTGAAGGAAGAAGTCCAAAGATAGAGTAGGTAGCTTTAATAATCGCGATAACTTATAGATGACAAAGCACCATCATACTGGAGGTTTGTGTATGGGGTTGCACCTATGTGATCTCGGCCACTAATCTTGTGCACCATCAACTGCTATCTCATGATATACTACAACGGTTAGACAACTCACCATTCCAACCCTACCATATCGTAAAATAAGGTGCAAACTATTAAATGGGATATTAACTTGAAAAGTTTCTAAAGATAATTTTTACAAGTCATTTCTTATACAATGAATGTATGTTATTCAAAACCCATTAGCCTAGTTTAAAAAATATAAATGGATAGTTTATGTAGAAAATAATGAAAGTAAAAGATTTGATTCAGGAATTATATAGGTATTTGTTAGTAAATTGAAACGAAACTACTATTATTGTAATGCTCTTTTTAGATGTTGAAGATGGAGACATCGTCAAACACAGTAGTTCTTTAATAAAACAATATGACAAGTTTTATCTAGAGAATCACACCCATGGGGTTTTATTGCATTATTTAGTGTTGTGATCATTCTAAAGGCTAAAACGTGGAATTCTTAATATGGATGATCATATTCGAATCTTACCAATTACCAATGGATTAGATTGTAATAATGTCGTGACATGAACACTCAAACTCCACTTCGTCTAGTAGTTTTTTTTTAGTTTTTTTGTTTTTTTGTTTTTTACCTAGGACGCTAGGCACGAGCCTGGGATTGTTTTTCACATTACTTCAGGCTGGACCTAGGGGTAGCGGCATTATCACTTAGATAAAATCCATTGGTGACTTGGCGGGGATTGAACCCGGGACCTCAGGGACTGAAGTTTCGCGCTCTAACCACTACGCCAGCTCGCTCCCCTCGTCTAGTAGTTTACCTGTCTATAAAAAAACAAAACAGTAGGTATCCCATGCAAATATATAGTATATAATAGTCTTTTACTGTTCCATTTGAACTGGCATTACACAATCAAACCTAAAAAATTCAAAAACCATATCGTTTTAAAGTATACAAAAAGGATTTTTAAACAAACAAAAACTCACCACAAATAACACTAAACGAATGACAAAAGGCTTGCTAATAAGTAGAACGATTATGCTTTTTGTTGTAGAAATTTTCTATGTACGAAAAGAGACTTCACATACGTTATTGTGTTATTTGTTTGTTTTAGGCTCCGACAGTTTTTTATACAAACCTAGTAACAACGCCACAGCTTTTTATAAATTACAGAGTACAGTGTTGATAACTATCTAGTAATAAATTGATAATGATAAAAAAACAAAGCGTTACAGTGATGTTGAACTTAAATATA